GGAACATTTCCCAAATCAATTTGTCCACCACCCCCCACCCCATCCGCTGAAAAAACAAGCGTCCCAAAACTTCGGTTATTTTGCAGCAGGTAGCAGGGGGCAGCAGGCAGGGTGGGCTGGCAGGCAGGGCTGGTGGCACAGGGAACGTGTGAATCAGTCCCTGCTGATCACCCTAAAAATCTGCAGCCCCCCCGGCGCAGCAGTCCTGGTACAGCTGCTGGGGGCAGCTCGCCCGGAGCCCCGGCCCCCTCCGGCACAGCCCAGCAGGCCGACCTTGACCTCGGCTTCCCCGCGGCCAGGTGAGCCCTTCGCACCCCAGGGATCACAGCGGGCGTTTGCTCAGCAGCCCAGCACCGAGGGCGATGGGGCTGCAGAATCCGCCTCCTGCCCGGGCACCCTCCCAGCCCGCTGGGTGCCCACAGCCTGGCAGCAAGGCGGCCCCCCAGCCCTCTCTGTGCTTCTTTTTGGGGTCCAGGGCTGGTTGCAGGCAGAGCCCCCACGCCGGCAGGAGGAGAGTTTGCAGAGGAGCCTGTGCATGGCTGTTAGATGCGAAAAGCATCTCGCTGGGGTGAGAACTCACCTCTGCGCTTTGCTGTCCCTCGTGCTGCCCCGCTGCTCCCAGCTCCGTCTCTCTACCGGACCATGGCACAGTTTGGAGGTCAGAAGAGGGGTCCATGGGACGTGCTGTCAGCAGCAAGACCGGTGCAAAGGAGGCAAGCACCCTCGTCGCAGGTGTGCATCCCCCCCATAGCACCCTCTCCCCGGCATCTGCAGAGATCCCCTGGGTGCAAGCGCTCTGCCCTGAGAGAGGTGCCGCTGCCAGGCTGCACCAGCAACGAGCGAAACGCACCCGTCCCGGCTGCTTTCACACATTCCCCGAGCAACCGTGAGAGGAGAACGAGAGCAGGGAAAAATCGCTACTAGCAGGGAAGTATGGACTACAGAGAAGAGTAGAGAGGAAAGGCAAGGGAAAAGGGAAATAAGGAAAGCAAGGATGGGAAAGAGGATGGCTGGGTCATGTCTGGGGAAGTGGGGTGACTCTGGCGAGCGAGCCTGGGCAAGGGGGGCAGGCACCCATCACCCATCTCTCACTCTCCACCATCGCTATATTCAGGTGATCTGTGGCCAAGAAGAACCAGGGCAAGGTGCAGAGCAACGTGAACCCAAGACCCAGGAGAGAGCTCAAGTACAGAAGATGAGAGGGCTACTCTCTCCAAAGTCCCTGTTAACTCCAACCTTACTGCAGAACACGACCCTCCTGGAGCTGGTGAGCAGCTCCCGGGAGTTATGGGATATCCTGGACAACCTGTCAGAGCGGGACCAGGCTCCACACCCCAGAGGACAAAGGGACTTGGGGCCAGCCTCAGGCAAGCTTAAAAAAATTTTTGGCTGGGGAGATTTCTATTCCAATATCAAGACAGTGAAGTTGAACCTCTTGATCACTGGAAAGGTCGTTGATCACGGCAACGGCACAGTCAACGTCTTCTTCCGACACAACTCTACCGGGCAAGGGAACATCTCCGTCAGCCTCGTCCCCCCCACCAAGGCAGTGGAGTTTGACCTGGAGCAACAGATCTTCATCGAGGCCAAAGAATCCAAAATCTTCAACTGCCGCGTGGAGTACGAGAAAGTGGATCGTGCCAAGAAGACCACGCTCTGCACTTACGACCCATCTAAGACCTGCTACCACGAGCACACCCAAAGTCACGTCTCCTGGGTCTGCTCAAAGCCCTTCAAAGTCATCTGCATCTACATCACCTTCTACAGCATAGACTACAGGCTGGTGCAGAAAGTGTGTCCCGACTACAACTATCACAGCGACGTACCCTACTACCCCTCGGGATGATGTGCTCTGCCCATATCGGGATGCCCCGGTGATGAGCGGGTGCTGGGGGGGTGGGGGGAGGGATGGGGACGGTTTTGTTAGTGGGGACAGGAGCACGGTGGTCCCTAGACACCAGAAGCAAGGAAGGAAGAGGAGGATTTTCCATTTTCCCCAAAAGCTCCAATGTCAAGAGGAGGAATTTTAGGCTATGGGGTACCGGCATCGCTAAACTTGGCGTGGATCCGTGGTCTTTCGAGACTGGTACGCGAAGGCAGGGTCTGAATCTAGGATACAGAAAATAGGACATAAAGCCACAATCAGGACTTGGGTTTCTCAGTGCAATAATGGATTTGCCTGGATCTAGGCCACATGGTCTGGAAAGGTTGGTGACCAGGCAAAGAGAGCTCCAGAAGCAGGCTTACACAGCCTGGAGCCAGGGGAAGACCTCGGGGGGGAAAAAAGGCACCTGATGCCCTCCATGGCTGTAAAACATCCATGGGCAGCCACATCATCTCCTCCATGTCCGAGTTCTGCAGCAGTGGGAGCTGAGTTTTCCCATGTCGGGATGGAAAGGGCTGCCGGGACGGAAACGGGGAGCCAGGAGGGGTGGGAGGGCAGGGAGGGACCTTCCCGGGGTGCCACCCCACCGTGGCTCACATCAGGCACCACAGCACAGGGGGGTTTCGGGGACTTGAAACTGGATCCAAAGGTAGAGAAATCCTGGTGGAATCTGTCAACTCCGCTGACACAGTATGTGATTCATGTGTTTCCCCTGACACGCTGTGATTCATGCGTTTCCCCTTCATCTCATCCGTGCTTCTTATCACTGCCGGCTCCCCAGCGCCCGCTCCCACCCTTCCCCAGCCACATTCAGCTCCAAGCGCTGCCGTTCCTCGGTGCAAAGGTGTGCGCCCGCGTGCGTACGTGTGTGTGAAGTGGAGCTCTGACTGTAGCATTTAATTTACTTTGAAGTTAAAAAAAAAAAAACAACACGACAACGCTGTCCTTGAGAGAGAGAATAAAGGTTTCACGGTGGCACCGAGGCAGGTCAAGTGTTTTTACTGAGAGCCGTCTCAGCCCCCTTGGGGCAGAAGGAAAATAAACTGGTGGGGTTGTGAACGAGGCAGAGGGCATCACCTCGCCCCGTGCCCAAATTCGGCTCTGCTCAGCTGCAGCTGAACTTGCCCTTTCTAGTAACGACGCATTGGGTCCAGCTCCGGGGTCTGCCGGAACTCGGACTTTCACCCAGACGCTTGGTTGCTATTGCACGTGCATGGGCTGATTCTGCACCACCGATGGGTATTCCCAGCCTCCTCCCCTTCCCCGTACATCCAAACTTCAGGCTCCCACTTACGTGGACACATTCCCTCCTACAGAGAAGACCAAAAAGCAGCTTCCCCCCACCAGCCCTTCATTTTGCCCCCAAATTCCCCATACCCAGAGCACCAGGGCAGCTCAAGAAAATCCCCTTACGCCAACAAACCCCCAGCAGAGTTACGAGGCAGGTATTACCACGAGAGCAGGTTTTATGCTTCAGCCTCCACAAGTCAAATTCCTTCTTTACAGCTGGGAGAGAGGTTTGCTGGCTGCTGGCGAAGTTTCATTATATGCACTTTTACATCTAGACAGAGGCCGCTTCCAAAACACATCGAGCAAAGAAAGCCTTTTAGTGCAATAATCAATGGGAAGACTTTTACTCCGAGAACAGAAAGTTTAAAATGCTTTGAGAGCACGGTTTCGGAAAATAACAGGAGCAATAGTTGATATTGGGGGGGAAAAAACCCCTACCACGAGCTCTCTCACAAAAGTCTGTTCCCCAAGGGTTCATGCTCGCTTTAAGGAAGAAACACAAAAAGACACGTTAAACTCCTTTCTGCCAGCACAGACAAAACAAACAAAACCACCACACACAAAAGTTGCTCATTTGGAGAAATTTCAGACAATTGCCATTTGAAGAAACAGAGCAGACAGCGGGAGCAGAGAACCAGGCTACAATGGATGCACCATTGTCAAAAGTGATGTGGCAGCCGCAGTTACTAGGAGACCAGGACGGGCCATTATTCGGGCTTGGGAGAAGAGGATTCCTGCTAGCAGAGTCACAACCTGTGCTCAGAAAAGAAGGATTTTGCTGAGCTGGAGAGCAAACAATATGAGAGAAAAAAATCCCCATCCCCTAAACCCGCCTGCCTTGAACCCCCCTGCTCACCCCCTGCTACAACGAGATGCAAGGGAGAGCCTCTGCACCAACTCATTTGGTAAAATTTCTCTCGTTAGAGACTAAGTCAAGGTGTATTTGAACGCATTCGCTTCCAGCTTATGATTATTTGCTTTGTGGGGTGTTGCTCAAGCTGTGTCGCACGGTGAAGGTTGGCCACGGAGTTGTTTCTGCTTCTCGAGCGGAGGAGTTAAATCCCTGCGACTGCCTCTGCTGCAATATTACACAAGGAACCAAGGTTTTAATTTCTTTCCCCATTAGTAGATGGACATAAAATAGATTTGGGGGTGGGGGGAGCTAAAATTTATCCAAATGAAGTTCCACGAGTTGCAAACTTCATTACAAATGAAGCGGCGTGTAATGACTGTGGAAAGCAGACTTCAAAAATCCTCCGTGACACCAGGGTTCAGCAAAGTGCCACAGAAGTAGTCACAGGCATTTCTGCAATTAGAGCCTATCTCCATTTATAAAATGCAGCCCCTTATCGTCTTTGATAACTCAGCGGACGGCCAATCTCTTTGTCTCCAAAGCAGGAAAAGCCCTGATGGGAACTACTTACTGCTGCCATCTACAACTACACAGTGAATGTTCTCCATCTCCAGTAATTAGCTCTCTTTAGTTTGTTAATACTTTTTCCTCTTCCCCACAAAATCCTCCTAATTTAAATTTCATGAGTCTCCCAGCCGAGCTAACCTGTGCACATTTAGAAACCGGCTTCCCAGAACAGCCTGCTCCACCCTCCCACCCAAGTCCATCAGCAGCCCCCAGCAGTAATTGCGCTTGTTGGGGCTGGTGGGGACCAGTTGATCCAGGCTCCCCCCTGCCCAGGGTCAGAAAAAAAAGTCAGGAGCCGATGGATTTGCTGCAGGAATACAACCACCCCAACATCTCCCCAGTCCTGACACCGCTCGCCATCCCGGGGTGGTGGATCCCGTCACTTCTGCCTCCTCTGGTTTTAAGGACTGAAGCGATGAGACTTCCACCATCTTCCTTAAAATGCTGTTTAATATTTGAGTAATTCTCCCATTAAGATAATTTTCCCAACTCTGCGCAGTCCAAGTGCTCCTTTGTTAATTTTGCTAATATAGTAAAAAATTTGCTAATATAGTAAAAAATAATTTGGTGGAATCAACCTCAAATAAATCTAAATCCATCTCTCTGTAGGTTACTGGCACCTCCTCTCCCTTTGTAACCTTCCAGTCAATCAGACTTTATCTTTCTACCGTTTCTTATTTACTGTATGCAAAAATCCCAGCAGTGGCCTCAGATTCAAATGAGGCCTCAGATTCAAACTCTCATGGCCAACCATCACCTCCAAAATGTGCTAGTGCATTACTCCAGGACTTCAGAGAGGACAAATCTCACAGGAAGGTACGATTCAGTGCAAGCATGGCACAATCGGACCCTTCTCACCGCTACCACAGCTTCAAGCCATCAATTTTCCTCAACTCCGGGTCAGTCAGGTTTTTTCCAAACATAAATATTTTTAGCAGGCTCCAGCCAGCTGCCAAGATCTGGAACAAGAAGGGAGTTTGTTCATGAAAAGCCTCTGGACAAACTAATGAGCAACAAAAGGTTATTGTCACGAGAACCTCTTTAAAGGCATCAGCATTGCGGAGGTGCCAACCTTTGAGGTTTTCACCAGAAGTTGGCAATATTTGGAGCAGTTCCCAGAGCGGCGGCTATCAGAGCCACTGGGTTACTCAAGAGCTTCAGCTTCCAGAAAACCAAACAATTGGCTTAATCACAAAAAACCCCAAGAAAATGGGATTTCTAGAGGCTCAGATGTCACAACACTAACATAAACCTCAATTTGTGTTAGATTTCATGATTTCTACATCAAGCTCGCTTTATGGTCCGTCTCAGGTTTTCTGTTACCAAGTTTTCAGGCTGGGGATACTGAAGTTCCTGCAGCTGGGTGAGTCTGTAACGTCATTCTCGGAGGACGTTGGAAGCTCAAAGCATTTACAGTTTTGTTGCTCCTGTTTTTTGCATCCCCCCAAGTCTCCAGTGCAGCTCCCCGGGTCGCCAGCGACGTCTCAGCTCCCGTAACATTGCTTGCCGGGACAAGCCTGGCCCTTTTGCTCCTAAACCAAACTGCCGAGGTTGAGCCTCATGGAGGGAGCCCCGACCTGAGCACTTTCACAACACAAATAAACACATTCTACATTTTCCTGCCCAAACTATCAAAAGGCTAATAGAGCCTTTGCTGAGCTTTAGCTCAGATGGGCTAGGGCTGCTGGGTATGTGCAATGCTGCAGCTTTATAGAGATTATTAGACTTTAATGAGGGCTGGTGAGCCAGCCAAGCCTTTATGCTTGTAATCCCCCATTTCAATAGCCATAGGTAGCTCCTGGATGCATTAATGTTGCTGGTTCTCCTGCTCTTCTGGGTGCATAAAAGCAACTTGGGATCCAATTTTGTTGTTATGGCTAGTGCCAGGCCAGCGCCACGCTGAACACAGAGCGACGGCGCTTGCCCGAGATCTGAGGACGGGTCGAGCGGCAGAGCCGGGGCAGCACGGGTGCCTGGGGTGCTGCTCCAGCCCGTGGCCCCCCGCCTCCTCCGGGGAGCCAACGCGCCTTTCAGGTCCTCTTGAAGTCTCTTCGCTGCCGCTCTGGGTCCTCTCTTCTTTTCTAAGGGAAGTTTCTCCTCTTTGCAGACCCTGTTTCAGGGTGCCAACGCAAGCTGTGCTAAGGACAGACATCTCATTCTCCGAGCGGTTCGAGAATCTTAATTCCTGGGCATAAATCCTGATCATGCTATTGGCTTTTCTGATAAACTTAACCAAGTTATTCCAGGCCTT